GCCTGTTCGCCGAAGGCAGCAGAGCACCAAACAAGGCGGCTCGCCCTTCAAACGGCGTCCCACGGTCACACCGGGAGTGACGGGCCTGAGGAACCTAGGCAACACGTGTTACATGAACTCCATCCTGCAGGTGTTGAGCCACCTGCACGTCTTCAGGGAGTGCTTCCTGCAGCTGGACCTCACGCAGGCGCTGGAGCTGCTGGCGTCCGCCGTCCACGGACAGCTGGCGGGGAAGACCTCGTCCCAGTCGCCTCTCACCTTAAGGAAGGGCTTCCAGACCAGCTCGGGCTCCGGGGCCGGGCTGAGCGGCGGGGCCTCGCGGGGCCGCAGCATGGAGCTGATCCAACCCAAAGAGCCCAGCTCCAAGCACATCTCTCTCTGCCACGAGCTGCACACCTTGTTCCAGGTCATGTGGTCCGGTAAGTGGGCGCTGGTGTCGCCTTTCGCCATGCTGCACTCGGTGTGGCAGCTGATCCCGGCGTTCCGCGGCTACGCTCAGCAGGACGCGCAGGAGTTCCTGTGCGAGCTGCTGGACAAGGTGCAGCACGAGCTGGAGAGCACCGGCACGCACACGACCACCGCGGGCGTCCCACAGAAACGACTCATCAAACAGGTGCTCAGCGTGGTCAACACCATCTTCCACGGCCAGCTCCTCAGCCAGGTACATCAGCGTCTTTATGTTCTCCTTCAAACATCTACTGAGTGAACTGTCATTATTCTGGCAGAAACAGTGAAAAACTGCTAGAAACTCTCTGCTGCCTTTCTTTGTCGTTTATCACACCGAACTGAATACAGTTTGGTTTTGGACTCTTGTTCTGATAAAAGAGGACGTTTGAAGAAGTCGCCTTGAGCTCTGGGAAGTTGTGATGGCCATTTTCTGACTGACGATAAATCATAATAATACTAATGAAAGTATTTGAGAGTCCAAGTACAGATTGAGCATTTTTATAGTGTAAATATGATTAATCATCTTAATTAATTAACCGTGTAGCTTTAGTAACACACTGAGTGTACTACATGTATGTATTTTTCTGAAGAACACCTAAAAGGACTCACTTTGTGTCTACTACAAGTGACAACCGAAGCTCAGCGTCACTCCCAGTAACCGATGGGAGTGAGAGTTGGTCTGAGGACAGGAGATCAGTGTCTGAGGCTGAGCACACACTGCGCCACCTGCTCCTGCTCAACACAGAGGCTGTGTGTCTCTAAGTAAAGCGCTGACTCAGACTGCTTTTGACTCTCTGGACAACAGCGATATACCTAAACTAAAGGTTGTGTTGTGTGTGAATATTAAAGGCCGAGCAGGATGAGAATGATGATAGACTCAAATGAAAATTCTTGGCCGAAAAAACCGAAACACGGAAAGATTGTAATTCAAAGAATAAATCAGTTACGAAAGTATGAAAATATTTATTTAGCACTGACATTACAACAATGCACAATATAAAATAACTAACTTCAACAAAGTGCATTCAGAACTTTCTCTGTAGGCCTACAACATAACAGTGTATCCAAACAAAGACTGCCAAAGCCCAAATGTTACATCACTGGAAAACGGTTTCAAAAACACAGACAGAGGTGATAAATTAAACCCGACGTGGAGAAGCTCTTCACCCCCCTTCTTGAAATTTCTGCATTACCTATTTATGTCCTCTCTCTTTGATTGGCAGGTGACGTGCGTGGCCTGCGACCATCGCTCCAACACCGTGGAGCCGTTCTGGGATCTGTCTCTGGAGTTCCCCGAGCGCTATCACAGCAACAGCAGGGAGTCGGCCGCTCAGGCGTCCTGCCATTTGACGGAGATGCTGGCCAAGTTCACAGAGACCGAAGCACTGGAGGGAAACATCTACGCCTGCGACCACTGTAACTGTGAGGGAAATGATGATCTGTTCCCTCCGTAACTCGTCTGAGCTTGTCCTGGACCCGTTTGTCTTGTGAATAAACGTTAAAGCAGCGATAAAGATCTTCTCATCAAGTCTCTCTCTCCAAAATGTTGGATGTTGATTGGAAACATTTGAAGCAAATGTTGATTCTTGTCTGGAATCCTGACAACATCAGATATACAGATAGACCGATACCGATTATTAGTAGTCAAGGAGGCCGATAACCGATATTCATTTGCAGTAAAAGGGGAAATATTGGCGTCAAACTTTTGAATAATACAAACTCCAACACTTAACTTTGTTTAAATGCCTTTAAAGCATATGATTATTAAACAGCTCATCAGATTTAAACATGTTAAAGGTTTGTTTTAACTTAACCAACAGACATCTTTGTTTTAAAACTCTAACAAACAGTGCAGCGAGCTCCCAGGCTCAGCAGCATGTCTCATAAAGTTAACATTTAAACAAATAAATAGCTCCATAAAGTTTTCTACATAAATAAAGCTTTCCAAAATTTCAATATACTGAAATGTTAATCTTTCATCTTTGTTTTAAGTTCAAACAGAAACAGAAAGTGCAGCGAGCTCCCAGGCTCAGCAGCATGTCTGATAAAGTTAACTGAACATTTAAACAAATAAATAAATAGTAAAAGTGGACTGAATTGAGTTTGTTAGGTTTTATAAACTCACACAGACTTCTACTATCACGGACTATTTCCATATCGATGTTATCAGCAGCCTTGTTTGGAGTGATTAACAGGCCGGTCTGGAGGGACTGCGAGCGAGCAGAGCTGCCGCTGTGTTCATAGTTACTGGACTCACAGTAATGTAGAGGACTGGGATGTTTATTACAGTTTGGGGAGAGTCTGCTGCCTTCACTTACCTTCTGCCATGACTGCGAATGACTTATGAGTCGAGTGAAGAACGAGCCAAGGAGTAGTCGTAACAGTTCACCATTTAAAAAGTAGATTTCAAGCCCTGTTAACATCCTTTGTATCTTATTAAACAAAATACACTTACCTAACTAGAATACCAATGGCAACAAGGAAACCACGAGCTAAATATTGTTGAAAATCTCTATTATTTTGGAAATTTCCTGTCATAGAAAATTAAACTGTATGTTTATGGAGTTGAATGTGATATTTAGAGATGTTACTTCAGTGTGTCTGATTCAGATTTAATGAAGGATCAGCTCAGACGTTGTACGGTCGTGTCTTCATGTGAAAGGTTTCTTTGCTGCTCAGTGGACTGATGTTTATACTGCGTGTCGACTCTCTCGTTTGCAGCCGCTCGACGTCGGACCTCCTCCAAGTCAGTCCTCCTGACCGAAGCACAGAAACAGCTGATGGTCCACAAACTGCCTCAGGTCCTGCGGCTTCACCTCAAACGCTTCAGGTACATTGAGTGATTAATACTTCATATATTTGCTTTATTTGAAGATGTATCTGTCCCTAAAACTACTCTTACAGTCAGAAATGTGTCTGAGTGCCAGGTAGCGTTTGTCAACAGCAGACGAGGACAGGAACAAAGCAAAATGCACTTAAAATGCTGTAAACGATTACTTAAAAAGCAGACTTTTAGTCCTTAAAGAGTTTCCACTGTGTAGACGTTTGTTGGTCTGCACACAGTGATGATTCGGGGTCGGCAGGTGCTTTCTGCTGCAGACTAAAAGCTCATTTGCTGTCTGTCTTTCCGTCTTGTGATTGGTCCTCAGGTGGTCCGGGCGAAACCACCGGGAGAAGATCGGAGTCCACGTCAGCTTCGACCAGCTTCTCAACATGGAGCCGTACTGCTGCCGAGAGCCCTCGCCCAAACTTGTGTCCTGCTCCAGTCCCAGCAGCCCCGGTGCTGCGGGCTCGCCGCGCCCCAAGCACTTCCTCTACGATCTCTCCGCTGTGGTGATGCATCATGGGAAGGGCTTCGGTTCCGGCCACTACACGTCCTACTGCTACAACACAGAAGGAGGTGAGTTAAAGAACTGAAAACAACACTTTTATATGAAGAACTATGATGATAACTTTATTTATTTAGCACAATTGATGCATAAGATCCAACACAAAGTGCTTCACTTCACTTCAAAGGCACACAATCATATTTATGATCAAATAATAAAAACAAGTAACATACAATGTCTTGAGATTTAGTTTGAAGATGCAGATGCAATTATTTAATATTATTTAATATTATTTTGTGTCAAAGGTGCTCTGTGTACATAGTAAAACTAAATATATATATATATATATATTGCAGCAGAAGATACCAAAATCCTGATTAAATACACTTTTAAAATAACAGTAGCGTTCTGACTTTGGTGTGACTTATTTTCTAAAAGCTACTTGTTCTAAATACTAAAAGGGCTTTATTCAGAAGTGACAATTTGATCCACTTTATTTGATCTGTTTCGATTTTATCTGAAGATTTTAACTGGAACTGTACAGTGGCGTTAGAGTGATTTTACATAAACTGTCTTAGGCTGAGTACAGACAGTCTGGTAGTGGATGTGAACGTAAACGAGCCGAACAGTATTCAGTTAGTTGCGATCTTCAACTCCACAGTTAGATGCCACTAAATCCTACACACTGTTCACCTTCTGTGAGTAAATGTGCCCAGTCTTCGAGGATCCCTGTTGGTTAAAAGTCTCGTTGTTGTGTCTTTGCCTCCTCTCATCGGAGTCTTTTCTTGTTTCCAGGCTTCTGGGTTCACTGTAATGACTCTAAGCTGAATGTGTGTTCAGTGGAGGAGGTCTGCCGTGCTCAGGCCTACATCCTCTTCTACACACAGCGAGTAACTCAGGACAAAGACCGGCCGCTATAGGACCACCATCCCTTGAAGATCCTCCTCCTCATCCGCTGCAGCCTGACCACTCAGCGAGAAGATATCAGCACAGCCCCACCTATCGCTCTTTCTCTCCTCCCTCTCTTTCTTTGGGCATTTTATATCCTGGGAGGATGGGTCTTTTTTTAGTCTATTTTTCTGAATAAGGAAAAAACAAAAAAGAGAGGAAGAACTCCTTTTTAAAAACCTGGTTCTGCTTTATGAACTTCTTGTATATGGTGTTTATATGTAGGTATTTTTTAAAAAAAATGGTGATGTTTTTGTGATTTGTGTACAGTTGTATTTTATAAAGAAGAGAGTATCAGCCAAGATGTGTCTCAGTAGCAGCCAACAGACTCTGGCCGGGGCACGACCACAAGTGTNNNNGTGTATTGACGCTTTGAGGGCTCGTTGATTGTAAATGCTGTTTTGTTTCAACTGAAATGTTTCTCAGTCACTTTAGATAGTTGTCACAGAACTGGATGTAAGGTTGTAAACATGTCATTCACTCATGAGAAATGGCCTCCCTGTGTTCTAGACAGGTAAAAGTTGTTGATAGATGTTAACGACATGGCTGCGTTTGGCCACTTTCCTGCCAGAAATGCACTAATTTCTACAGAGTAGGTTGTCAGTATTGTTGTTGTTGGTTCAGAGTTAAAAGGTCTCTACACAAGGAAGTTTTATTTTTCCCTCTGAAGTACTCCTGGGTCTGCCAGGAAAAAACTGGCAGACCTCAAGCCAAAGCCTTGGGGGGAAGTGTATGGAAAAACCTCTCAGCATTTCCAAAACGGTTCAACATTTGCTGGATGTTTTTTTTTATATTTTTTCTTCCCTCTTTCACCAAGAGAGGAGGAAGGGGGGTTAAAAGTTTTAGGTTTTGTTTGTTTTTCTGGATAAATGCTGCCACCTCAGAATGTACCAGTCTTCAGAGCCTGAACCATCCCCAGCCAGACACTAGTGTACTAGAAAAGTGCCCTTTTGTTCAAAAAAATCTATTTTTATAGATCATATCTTCATAGTGGAACCTGCACCAGACCAGCATTTAGATTATGAATGTATTTTTTATACAATCCTTCTCAGAGGTTTTAAAAAAAGAGGCCATTGACTGTTTTTTATACAACCGCTGATTGTTCAACACCACCAGCAGTTTTTACAGATTTCACTGTTCTCTCATCCTTTTTAGTAGCTGTGTGTACTGTATGTGTACATACATACTGTATTTTATTCACCATCTGTTCAGTATAATATCCAGAATGAGCAGGGTTTTTCCTGCAGTGCATACAGATTGTGATATTTATCTCCATACTGGAGAATATTGTACAGAAAGAAAAGGGTATTCTCCACCTCAACCATGTTCTCTCTCTTGATTTCTCCATCAGAGGAATTCAAAGCACACGTCATGTTTTTTTCCTCCATTGTCAGACGTGACACATTTTGTTTTGTTGGCATTTTGGTTACTACTCCTAATGGATGTGTGTGTGTAAATGTATGGAAGTTATACTATGCAAATTGTTACCTCAATTTTTTCTAGAGAAAATTACCTCAATAAATGAGAATATTTTTTCATTTTTCTACAAAAAGATGCCGTTGTCTTGCTTTTTATTTGTGTAGCCTGGAATCAGAATTATGTCTAAAAGGGCTTTGCAACCCTATATCTTTATATTTTACATCAATGAGATGTTGTGGATTAAAACTAAGCCAGTAGTATGACTGTATAGTTAAGATTTGGGCAGAAAGTAACAGTTAAGCAGTGGTTTTCAGACCCTAAACAGTAAACAATAAACTCTTAGCTAAATATAGAAGGTAGAGTTAAGAATAAAAGTAAAATAAAATTGAAAATAAATGTAGAGAACTGTATAGAGGATAAATATAGATAAATTAAGATCAATATATAGGACAGTATATGGCA